AAACTTTGCACCAAAATCTTCACTAACCATAAACTATCCACTACACAAAATTAACTTTCTCGAATAACAGCGACGCAAAGGCTAATTCAAGTTCAACTTGAAAAAATGTATTATCCTGATAAATAACTTCAATAGATCACATCATCAAAGTTCAAGTAATATCTTGCTATTAATGAATAATATAATAAGTTAAAACTCATATCTTCTATTTTATAAAATTAACAAAATTCAAATAAGTGGCATGTTCACATGCCTATTTTAAAAGGAAAAAAAAATGTTTAATTGTCCAAATATGTCAAATAAGAACGGTTCAACGATACGTCAATTTTCTATTAACAAAATTCAACGTATGTTTCTATAGAAGTACGTGTTGAAAATTTCTATATACAAAAAGTACATTTGAAAATTTTAAATGATTAATGACCATATTAAAAGAATGTAAAAGAGTAGGGACCATTTGAAATATTTCACGTGCATCATCGAAGGTGTTTTTTTAATTGGTTTAGTGTACATAATAGACTTTTATATGATGTAAGTCAAATTGATGTAAGATTACCAATTCTTCCTATTTTTTAGAAATTAAACAAAATAGCTTATATAATAAGTGAGAGAAGTATTCAGTTCTTTTTTTTTTTTCTTTTTTACCACGTGAAAATAGAAATTCAAATTCATGACTTCTTCGTTGGGAGATCGAGACTAAACTAGTTGTGAAGAGCTAAAATAGTAATATTGGTCCAACTAACTACTCAACTTTCACCAAAAATTAGCCTTATTTTCCTCCCTTTATTTGAACGGCTTCCAAATCACAAATCTCACTCGGGAAATTCTTCAGTGTTTGTTTAAAAAAGAAACGCCACACTAATGTTTTGTCTGCCAAAATTGATAATAAAGATGAGTAATAGGAAGGTGAGGAGTATTAGAAGTTTCATGCGAATGTTCACCTTTTTTCTATTTTTTTGGATGCGAAGCCAGTTCGGAACCAACATTCTCGTGCTTCAATTTTTTATAACTCTATCTTTCACCGCAATGTTTGTGTCTCTGTACTGTGAATGTAAGGTTGATTATGGAGCTTGTAACGCTTTCATCAATATTACTATTTGTATTAGCTTTTACGTCGACTTTCCCACTCTTACTGAGATGTGGATTTCGTATGGAATTATCATTACACTCTTTGTTCTTCACCTTAATTTACTACCAATCGAGGATTGATTTATGCTGACTTGAGCATCGCTCAACAGATAAGGCTGAATCCCCATCCCCACATATCGCTATGTAGTAATTTGAGGTACTATTGCATGTAATGTGAACTTAGCGATTCTAGAACCATTAATGATCGGTGAACCTGCAGATCCATTTGCAACTGCTTTGAATTTGTTCTCTGCTCTTTTATATCTGTTTTTACTACGGCATGAATTTGAGAATTTGAACTACAAAATTTTTTATCTTATGTTCGAGGTTGACTTCTTTGTATATGCTCTTTTCAAATTTATTAATGATTGGGACGCGACATTGTAGACTCTTCTAAAACCGACAAGTTCCAACCGAATGAAAACCGATTTGTCGGTGGTCGGTGCCAGTTTTACTCCAAAACCGATTCCGACGATTGATGATCACCCCTAAGTTTGACTATTTGTTTTAGCTCTTACGTCAAATTTCCCACTGATACGTGGGTTTCCTAAGTGATTATCGTTATACTTCTTATTCTTCACATTCATTTACTACCAACAACGAGTTGATTTATACTGACTTGAGTTGACTTGAGTATAGCTCAATTAGTTAAGGTTGAATCTCCCGTCCCCACATGTTAACGAGCTGATTTAGTGGTTTAATTTTGGAGTTTGTCGCTAGGTATTTGACCAAATAGGATCGTCCAGTTCCTATAGAATCTATCACTAAAGTACCCCTAGAGGGGATAGGACTAAGCGAAGCAAAAAGGGTTTTCCATGAGATGGGAAATGAAAACTATTAGGCCCGTTTGTGAATAAGTGATTATCTGATAATGAGCAAGGAATACTGGTAGAAATTCGGGCTTCATTTACAGTTAAAAAATGTCACTAACATAATTTATGACAGTTTTTTTTTTGTCATTTATTAAGGCATCAAGAAAGAAGAGATAACAAATTTGAAAATTTGTCACGAATAGATATTCCATCACAATTAATAAACGTCACAGAAACTCATTTAATTACAGTTTATAACTATCATTAAAATAATGGAAGATTTAATTCTCCTGTCAATAAAAACTTAACCACGACAGTTTATAAATGTCACGAAATATTTTTTAATGACAGTTTATAATTGTCATGAAATGTTTTTTAACGATAGTTCAAAATTGACATGAAATATTTTTTAACGACTGCTCATAAACATCCAGAAAAACGTAACAATGACTATTTATATAATTGTCACGAAAACTTTTATAGTGATAGTTTTAATGGTCAATATTGACAATTTTAACTATCACGAAAATTTTATATATCACAATTGATTAATTGTGACTTTTTTTTTTGTCACAATTTGTGTTTAATAAAGGTCTGTAATATCAATAAAAGTTTATATATGATAACTTCATAACAGCCATGAAATACATTTTATAACACTGTACACGTTTCAAAAAAATTATCTAGATCAAAGTCATATCAAATTCGTACATTAGGATATTTTATACAAATACTATACTATCTATGACTACAATAAGAGAATGCCCAACAAACTACATTCACATTACATGAACCTTGTACATGTCGAAATACGCCGAAATTCTTCCCTATACATTCTCCTTTCTCAAAATGTTGCTGCCGCAAGTTACTCCTTCAAAAAAATAAAACGAATAATTAAGAAAATATTAATATTAACTCCCACATTTTCTTTTTAACTCCAACATGCATTACGTAATGACACAAATATAAACACTAAGTCTTAATTGGCTATCTTTACTACAGGATAGCAACATAATCATCCAACTAAACTTTAAACTACACAATTATCCAACTAAACTTTATATTATATGCATGACACATATAAACATTAAGTCTTAATGGGCTATCTTTGCTGCAGGATAGCCACACAAATATGTATTAATGGAAGAGAAAGAAGTATCAATAGGAATACATTAGGCAAAAACATCACCCCTAGTGTCAAACAAACATCAATGTCATATTCTTCTTACAGCGGTAAGTGATGATTGACACATACAAAAAATGAGAATATTTGCTATACTGCTATTAAAAGCAACGATGAAGAAGTAAACGTAACAAAAAGAATAACAAAAAAATGTTGTGCGGCTAGAATCAGCGTATGCATAGAAATTAGTTTGCTATATGTTTTGTCACTAGAAAAATCCTTTACAATTGAGTGAAGGATTTCATTATCAAAATCAGCAAATAAACATCCTTACTAATTAATCAACATTAACAAAATTATATTTTGCCCTAGAGGAATTCCGTATTTGAAGCCATTTCATTTTATTTCAAAATGACAAATCAATTCACAAATATAACGCAACATATATTTCAAACTTGATGTAAGGCTAATCTAAATAGGTAACTATATCACAAGTTTTGAATTAACTAGAATAACTTACTTTAAATGCATTTTAATGCTCAAAATAGTTAAAAACAGGTAAATAAGATAAGTGACCATTTCTCCAATTTTGATGTTGTATACCTTGTGATGTAAACTATGGATATTAGAGTATTCGGCTTATTCTTCCTAAGCCACATCAAAGACCCAATGCAGTAAAGGATATACTCAACGCCTGAATCGAAGTGGGGGGCAAAAATTATTGAAGAAACAGCACAGTTGAAAGATAATTTATCCGTAAGGTTAACACAACACTAACAAACGGTGTAAATAATTTTATGATCATACATAATTTAAAAACATAATGGTTACTATAAATCCATTAAAATATAAGGGATGACATGAAAATGTACCAAAAAATGTATTAATGATATTTTTCATCATGGCTACATAGTTGGAAAAGCTTATGATCAAGCCGAAAGCATTGCAAATATAGGTATGTCTGTCTGCATTTTCTTCAATTCAAAAGCCTAAAGTCTTGCAAATCAAACCGAACAAGTAAGAGCGGACAAGTGCATTCAATAAAAGGGCCGGCAATATTTATTAGAAAGACAAAATAGTCACTTATCTCAAAGACTCAAATTGAAAATCCATACATTTTCATCCAAGAAAGCTTTAATTTTTTATTCAATAACCTCATCATCATCTTCAGAAAGTGATCACCTACAACGAAACGAGAAATTTTAGTCGTCATCAAAAACTCCAGTACAATTTTAATTGCTAAAAATCCTAAAAGCTTATGCTACGCAACCTAAATCTAGAAACTTAAATAGAAAATGCTATTGTTTACCTCTTCAAGACAAAAAGTTCATGACTAACCATGTAAGTGAGTAATCTACCGCAAATCTTTCAAAACAACTCAATTTAGAAAAACTACCACAAGAACTAATTAAACTTTTTTGGATAAGACACAAGAACTAATTAAACATTGTCTACAATTATAAAATAAAAAATCTGTATTAGATTTTGACCATCTTTGACAATCCTAACCTAAGAGGAGAAAGAGATAGAATTTCGTTCTGATAACAATCCTTACGGCTTTATCTGATTTGCTTAACTCGGATGACAATAGGTTAAAAGCTTAAATGAAAATCCAATCATTGAAGTGGTTTCCTAGATAGAGAGTCCATAATACAAGATAAGATCACCGGGAAGTTTTGATACTGCATAATACCTCCAATGATCATGATTAAAAGCTACCTTATTAGACAGAGCAATCCTCCAAAAAAAGATGGTAATTGTAACTTTCAAACTGATGAAAGCCTATTTCTTTAATATTGACATTAAACTGATCCTTCAGACCACTTATCCCTGAACTTAAACTTTTAGATGAAAACTAATTAAGCTTAAGAATTGAACTCAGATGCCAAATCCAATTAGTAATCATCATTGATTCTTTATAGAAATATCTTCTCTACCACACATCCAACCAATCATGTGACTAATAAAAAGGCACAACTGAAGAGACATGGAAGATAATTTTCTTATGTTTGGCAGAACTACATAGTAGCACATTTCACAGTAGAAAGGGGAGAAAAATTATTTACCCAGACAGTTTGCCACAAACAACAATATGTTGTTTACCTCTTCAATTACTAAAAATCGTAAAAGTAAGCTACACAACCTAAATCGAGAGACTTGAATACAAAATTCTAATTTACAAAGTAAGAGATTATATTGCACTGCCTTGAAACACCAATAAAATAATGAAATAGACTAAAAATAAATTTTCCAGATCAACATCTAATAAGAGTGCAACAACCCTACCATCGATTCGCCGAATAAGCAACAACCCTACCACCGAATGCTCCTTGCCGCCGTTAAAGGAGCCGCACTCACTTATGGGTTCTCTCTCTTCCATCGCTTTGAACATCGAATCTTTGAAATTTTTTCCCCTTTTTGCAGGGTTTAGATGCTCATTCCTACTTTGAAGAAGAAGATTAATCAGTAAGAATTAAAAATTAATAATAATTATTAAACAAACAGTTTTTTCTTTCTCACGTTTGAAAACTGAACAATAACATACAAAAAAATCCTCTTCGCTCTACAATGAACAACACAAACAAGGGAGAAAAAAATACAAAAAAAAAAATTGAAGTTACTCTTAAATCTCAACTACAAGATCATGCACGATATTACGAACAAAACGAAACATAAAAATCCACCGCCGATTCCGACCAAATCTTTTCGCCGCTGTTCAACGATCTAAACTCTCACACTGAACCAGAAAACAACTTAAAAAGTAAAATCAAAGCAAAAAAATAATCAGTTAAAACTCGGCATTTTCATGAACCTTCGAGGGACTTTGTTTTCAAAGCAAACAGTAATTTACAAGCAAAATCGGATAGAAAATGAGCAGAAAACTGAGTAAAAGATCACGATTCACGATGTAGAATAGAAATAACTTCCTTCCAATCCACAGTACTGCACACGAAACGACTCCCAAAAGGAGTCGCACGCACTGCTGGGCAGTCGAAGAACGCCATATCTGGGCGTTTGTTGCTGTCGGACCACCGCTGAAAACGCTATAGCCCGAGGGTCACGCCGCCATGGGGTTCGTTCGCATCGCCGTCCGCTGGGAAATACTTTCGTGGAGTCGCCATCGATGATGACGAAGAATGGGGCTACTATGAAGGAAGAAGAAGAAGAATGAGACTGCTATGGAGGAAGAAGAAGCTTCTTAAGAATGAGACTACACGTTAAAGGAAGGGGAAAGAGATGGGGGCTAGGGTTTCCTTCATGTTTTTTCCTTTTTATTTTCTTTCCCTTTCTCTTTTTGTTTTATTTATTTTACCAAAAAGAAATGGGTCCAATTAAACTAAAATAGCAACACAAAGTAATGATTAAGGTCTTATAAAAAAAAACAACGTTCCATAATTCTTTCCCAATAAGAACTCTCTCTAAAAATGATTTGAAAATTTTATCTAAAAGATTAACTAAATTTAAAACCCAAAATTAGAACTTAGATATTAGAAAATCCATGAAATTAAATATCTGCTCAGAGGAAAAATCCAAGGGCACAAATAAGTCTTAAAATAAACGAGCCAGAGAATCCAGGTGTTACAGAAAATGTGAGAATTTCAAAAAGTGAAAAGTATAGGTCTACAAAGGCAACGACAATTTCTAGTAGTAAAAATAATATTTGAATAAAAAAATTTCGGTTCAGTTGAACTAGTTAATTTGTGTAAACCAAAAAATCAAACTCAATCATCCAACGAACATCCAAACAATTAAATTTAATTATATTCATTTCAAATTATTTTTGTTCCAAACAAGATAAAGAATTTTCAATCATATCTCTGACTTAAATCACGAAATTTAAAATCATTCTTGAACATTCTTGCCAGCAAACGAGGATAAGAGAAAGTATTGAATTATTGCAAAAAAAAAATACACACCCAATAAATAATAAAATTGAATTCTATTTATAGAGATGATCTCCGACAAGACTCCCTATAATGACTTAACGGTCATCCGAACGCTCATAAAACGCGACATGTTGTTTGATTAATGTCTTATTCAACACTCCTGCGGACATCTTTGCGTAGGTCGGCTCTAACCTTCTAGGTCGGTCGATAAAACATAATGAACAGTTTAGCTCATCAAAACATTCCGACTTTAATTGGTTTCAATTTAGAACTTCGATAACGTTCAAGATGTCCGCAGGAATGTTGAATAACTCATCAAAACATTCTTCTAGGTCGGCTCTAACCTTGCACAGAGTATCATGATCAAAGATATTCTTGAATAACAATACCTTTCTTTTGTCGACACGTGGCCGGCGATAAAGAGTCTCCAACAAACCTAATTAGTTTAAATTTAAACCCAAAATAATTCCTAAGCATTCGATTAAGTTGATTACCTTTCATTCCAATAAAAAAAATATAATTTAAATATGAATATTTTATTTACGAAATGCTTGGTGAAACTAGAATTAACCTATGTTATTTTTAAAAAATATATTAATAGAAGGTTGAAAAAATAATTTAAATTCATAGGGCTCAAACTCAGGACCGAAGAGAGGAAGGGCACAATTACGCAGGATAAGCATACCACTATACCAAATATCATTTTCTACTTGTTTCATGGAGTATTTGGGGAAACTATTAAGCATAAATCTATACTCGATACGACCGGACAATCCCGAAATAATTAATATCATTAACAAAGCTGCAGTTTTTCCGACAGAAATGAAACGCGCTCAAAATCATTTGTTTTTGTATGTCATACATTCTCAAGATGGTTTAGGTAATTGTCATGGAATACTTGAAATTTTTTTTTCTTGACAATTATAAAACGTCATAAAAGCATGAAAATTTTCGTAAATTACTGTTTTTTCCCGCCACAATCGCGCCTCCACCATTTCGTGACAGTTTTTCATTGTCGTTGAAAATTTGATTTTCGTGATAGTTTTTAACTGTCATAAAACTTACAAAATCTGAAAAATAGCGTTTTTTTCATGCCAAAAACGCGCCCCTATAATTTATGATAGTTTTTTTCCTCCAAACTTTTTTACTCTTCACAACTGTCATGGAAGACCATTTTTCTACTAGTGGAATGTTCGTCTTTTCATTAGATACTTTTTATGAATATCAACTAAGAATCGTAAGTAAATTACTCTCGGTTGTTCAATCATTTGATAACCAGAGTCATTCTTTGATAAATGATCACTATGAGTCAGACTCAATAGAATTTGATCAATCCTTTTTTCTATCGTTAAGGTGGAGAACTGAACCAAGAATTCTCTTTCTTTATCATCAATCGAATTGCTTTTTCGAGAAATACGAGACATCTAAGTCATAAGTAAAGAGATATATTCATTGATAAGAAAAAGAGAAAATGTGAATGGTGATTGGATTGATGATAAAATAGAATCCTTATGACATCGAATTACCTGTGTCCTTGAACTCATGCAAAAAATAATAAAAAACTCAATTTGCATTTGTGAATTTGTGGGAATCAGAATTTGAACTCTACAACTTTTGATCCTATCCTGAGATTGACTTCTTTGTATCTGCTTTTTAACGATAAATGATGCCTTAAAGATCTAAATGTAAGATGAGATCTTAATATCAAACTGAAAAAAATAGATTTGTTAAAGAACAGCTAAGGCGCTTTTTTGTTTTCTTTTTGTTTTTCATCGCAATCTTTTCCTTTTTCTCAAGCATCATAGAATGGCATAGCTCCAATCTTATCTTCGTTCAATCATTTTTGTCTAAGTATCCAGTAAGTTGGTTCCCCATTCTTGAACGAGAGTTTCTCTTTATTTTCTTTGCGTATTGAAATTGGTGTTTAAATTTCTTGTATCAAGAATTAGATTGATCAACCACCTTGAATTTGGTGGCATTAATTAGTTTGTTCTGTTTGCCAAGATGAAAATTTCTTGAAATTTTTCGAGTGAGCATGATTCAGTTTTAGTAAAACCCAAATCCTAAATTTCGTAAACATTTTAGAGGTAAGAATTTCTCACTCATTTCTTGAAATGCATTCTCTGATGAAGTGAAATCTTGTATCAATGTGCTTACTTCGATCATGGAACATTGGATTCTTTGCTAGAGCAATTGCTGACTTATTGTCCACATGGACCACAGTTGCATCTTCTTGCACAATTCCAATTGACTTCAACAAATTCAAGTAGATAGTGTCACAATAGCCTGATTTTTAGAACTCCATATAAAAGCAGTATTGCCAATAAAGAACACAAATCTACTTGTGCTTTTTCGATCATTGAGATCTCTAGCCCAATCACTATTGCAATAACCTTCAAGTTTGAATTCTCCAGATGAAGAATAAAATAATCCATAATCCAGCATACCTTTTAGATAACGAAGGATTCTCTTTGCTACTTTCAAATGAGTAGTTGTAGAAGATTCCATAAACCGACTCACCAATCTAACACTAAAAAGAATATCAGGCCTTGTGCATGTCAGATATCTCAAGCTCCCAATTAAGCTTTTAAAATATGAAGGATCAACAACATCTTCATCTTCATAGTTTGACAATTTCATTCCAGTTTCGATCGAAGTAGCAATTGGTTTCGAATTGAACATCTTGAATTTCTCAAGAATTTCTCTAGTGTATCGTTCTTGAGAGATAAAAATTCCTTCCTCTGATTGATTCACCTCAATACCAAGATAATATGACATAAAGTCAATGTCTGTCATTTCAAATTCTTGGATCATTGCTTCTTAAATTCGTCAAACATGTTTGGACAATTTCCTGTAAAAATCAAGTCATCAACATATAGACAAACCAACAAAATATCTTCATGATCGTTACTCTTGGTATAAATAGAATGTTCATGTGGGCATCTTAGATACCCATTGTCATGGAAATATTTGTCAATTCTATTATTCCACATCCTTAGAGTCTGTTTCAACCCATTATGTGCCTTCTTCAACTTTAGAACTTTATCCTCTTGTCCTTTCACCACATAACCAAGAGGTTGTTCTAAATATACTTCTTCTTCAAGATATCCATTC